CCTGCCATCGCTGGCGGCAGATCAGCTGCGCCGATAGTGGAAGGAAACCAGGGCAACCTCCATCCCAACCCTCCAATCACATTGCTCTTTTGCGCTTTCATTTCTGCAGTCGTTGACAAATGACCCCGTCAACCCCGCCCTACCCGCTACCACATAATCACAGGTGGATATGAAGCCTTTGTTAGGGCACCTGCTTTCATGTGCAACAGCTGGAGGTTCATTTTGCAACCAGGTTTAAGATGGGAGCGAGTTCTTGCATGTTCTTTTTTTTTTTTTTTTTATTGAGATCTTCCATATTAGTTTTCTGTGAAATTTGTGGTTTTGTGTCAGACAATAAGAGCATGTTTAGATGGAAATTACAAGGGCCTCCTTCAGTCAGCCGGTAACTAAAAATGGACTTCCTTTATGAAAATCACCTTCAGAGAGAGAGAGAAAGAGCACATTGAACTTCCAAGCCCACACTCACACAGGCATCCAAGAAAACAACAGGGTTACATAATTCAGAGTAATACCTCAAAAGTACTTGTTCACTGACAGCCAGCGATAGCTCCTCTCATTGTGTAATCACTCATATCTGAACAGTGTTAAAATTTTTCCATTTGCAATATAACTGCCATTTATTTACTACTTTGACGCATAATTTTGCCACAGAGAGTTTGGCTTAAAAGAGAAGTTCCATGTTTTTATTTCATTCTTTCTGCAAGCCACCACCACCACATAATGATAGGTTATGAAAGATACGACTCCTGAAGGAAATGTGCAAATGTCTTTGGGGGGAAAAAATGGATTGGAAAAAAAAAAAAAAACGAAGGAGCTCTAAGTCAAGTGACCTGTCTTCTTCGGTTGTTGACATGAGGTGATCATTATCATATTGAGCCAACAAACAGATTTACATTTTCTACCCAATTGAGAGATTTTTAGAGATGTTACCCTGTTTTTCCACCCTCTCCTTGTGATGAACCTCTGGCCGTGGAGCAATAACAGTGGCCTCAGTGTCAATCCAGATTCTTTCGGTGTTTTTATTGAGGAAAATTAATTTTCTCTCCTAACAGGCATTTTATAGAGTGCAGTTTGTGCCATAATGCAAGAACGTACGGATTGTGGTAGAAGACAAAAAACCTCTGTGCTCCATTTAAGTGGATGATGTTTGAGTCTTCCTTTTTTAAGGCAGTTAAATTGAATCTTGGTGAATAAACTGCAAATAGCAGCAGGTATTTGCTTAAGTTTTTGTTTTTCTTCTTCTTTTGGTATTCACGGATGCAGCCATAATCTCTGAAGAGAAATGGCTTTACTTTAAGGACACTCTGGGAAAAATGTATAATCCGGTAAAACAAGTAAATGCAGGCTACTAAAGGCTAATATTTTAATCTGAACATACTTGTGAAGATTAGCAGATACCAGCATCGGACTGGGTATATTTAAATCTAATCTTGCCTTTGTGGTCTGTGCATGTATGGATGTGTGTATGATGAGAGGTTAGAGGATTGAGGGGGTTCTTGGCACGGTTTTGGAGTCTTGTGATGGAGTTCAGGAGTTTATTCACATGGGAGTCAGAACAAGGTACAATGTTCATACTTTGGACTAGTGCTTAATAATACCCTTTGTTTACACCTTACCCCAAAGCAAAGTGTTTTAGGACAATGGAATAAGCAAATTTATGCATGAATCCCAAACCAGTTTGTAGTTTAGTGGAAGTATACATCCAGCTATTCTGTGAAGACTTCTTGGCATCTACAGCATCTCGGTATGAAGAAAATTAATTGAAAAAAAATATCAAAAAGGGTTCTGGTATCTCTGGAGGAGCTGTAGAGGTTGGGAGCTCCGGTACGAGTGTTTGTTGTTCATTTTCAAGCAAGACATTTAGCTAGAGCTACAATGGAAGGCTCTAGACCAGTGGTTTTCAACCTTTAGGGCCCTCTATCCTCCATCTTTAACTTGTGCCTCTGCTTCAGCGTACCATATTTAAATGACTGCATTACTTCCTAGTAAACACCTATTCATTTTAGTCTGGTATATTTGCTGCAGGGACAGGCCTAAGATTTGGATATAAGTTGATCAGCAGGACCAGGATTAAGAAGCACTTGTCAAGATGAGTCAAACTAGACCTAAATCCAATCAACAATTGTTGGCAAGACTTAAAGTATTTTTCATAAAATCTAAATGCAAATGCATTCCACCATCTTGACATGTTTCTATAAAACATCTGAAAAATATAATTATTAGTGTCTACTTCCCAAATATGTGCTACTTTTATCGTCTATCAGATAGAAAAAACAAAATGCATATGAATACTTTTGTAAGGTACATAAATACAGTACATTAAGGAACAAAAAATGATTACTTTCACCAGCACAGAGATCCAGAAAGCTGCAACAGAAGACAGATCACTTTGCTTAATTAATCTTTGAACACTTTATAACTCATTCACTAGTGTTTCTTATGCATTAATTAAGGATGTGCAAGAGAAAAAACACAGACTAGTAGTGAGCCTTCTTTTTTCTACATTGTTACTAACTTTTGATCACAGTAAGCGTTTGAAGACATAATTTTTTTGCATTAATGATGTCAAATACATATTACGCTCTCATGAATGAGTTGTAGTGTTTACAGGTTAATTAATAACATATTTATAAACCAGTTAGAAGCCATCATTAAGGGGATGCTTATTGTGGGACCAAAGTCTAAATGTGATATATTCCTTTGTGGCATATAAGAGTTTCTGTTCTGCTGGAGACTTTTAATAAATATCCATGAGGGATGTTAATGTGAGCGTTGAAAATTATTATTTTTTTCCTGTCTTGTTTTAAATTACATACATTTCTGCTTAGATATGTGTTTTTTTAGTAAACGCTCAGTTAAAGCACAAAAATTAACTGCTGACAAACTTGATATTGGTGCGCCTGCGTGCCCAAAGGAAGAGCAGTCAATGAGACAAAATGGTTCCCTTTGCTCAGTCATTGCTGGCAATTTGGCTGAGGTTACCTTGGCAACACAAACTTGGTTTTCTCACTGAGAGCGAGGAGAGACGGTTGCTGTTACAACGTGGCTACGACAGAGCTCGCATCCAAGAGCAACAGCCTTGAGTGTTGTTTTCTCTTCAGCTATATTAACACTGTCAACAAGCGTGATTATGATGATGCAGGCTGGGCTTTTCATCTTACACAGGCCCGCTGACCTGCGCTACCAGAAAACTACATTATCTGCCTCGTTTTTTGCACAGAAATAAATTCAATGGCCACAAATAGTATCAGAAAAATAAACTTTTTTCTTTACTTATAAAGACAGTACTGTTTGTTTTTGTGTGTTTATGCAATCATGCTGCCACAGAGAGTAACTGCCTGATTTGGTTGAAGAAGTTTTGCTACCAGACAGGCTCACTGGCCCGGAAACATTTACTTTTAGATGAAGGGACAAGAGTTGCACCTTGTACATCCAGTGAACAAGATTCCCTCCTGAAAGCTGTCATGCGTGCATACAAAGAGCACATCATCACTCAGAATATATTCACTCAAGTATATGTGGTCTTAATAAAATCTAAGCATACCTTTTGATTTTCTCACACATCTCTTTTTGTGTTTGGAAGTGTTATGAAATGCAGCTGTTGCTCTGTGCTTCTTTATTCTCTCTGGTATCAGATGAGATGTGCACTTTGCTGGTCAGGCATGAGTGACCTTTATGGATGCCTTTTAGCCTCAGCCCCTCCAGTCAGCCTCCATTTCAAACATGCCCCTTGCTTATCAGTAACCTATTACTTCTCACAGCAGCTCCCTGTGCAAACACTGGCTAAGGGAGTCAAACACTGCAAAGGAAAAATGCAAATATTCATAAACTTCTGCTTTGTAATCAAAGTTGTGGTCAGCAGCGCTGAGTTTTTCTGTAGCAGCTACATTCGTGTTTGCAGTTTTACATTTTCTCTCGAGAATGCTGACAGAAAATTGGATTTATTACAGGGTGACAATGGCTACCTTCTTCACCATCGGAGGCATATGTCTTAGTGTGGGTGTTTACTTTCCCCGGGCCAGCTTGGGTAATGTGATTGTGTTTAATATGCCTCATACATACCCCTGAGCGAAAACACATCCACTGTGTTATTGATTTGGTTGTTTGTCACAATAAATAATGAAAATCACATTTACCCGACCCTGAAAATATTTGTTGAACAGGAATTCTTGTCAAGCTGCAGCTTGAGACCTTCGTTCAGAATATTTTGTCACAAATATCAACAACTTTTGGAGTTATTGATCTTCATATATCGGTCAGGTTCATTAGTTTAAAAAAAAATGCTCATCTTAAAGCTTCGCATTTTTTCTTCTGCTCCTTTTAAAGCATAAATTCAGCTTTTTTCCACTGACTTAATAAGATTCTTTTTTTTTTTTTTTTGCTTTCTGAGGGGTCATGGCGAGTGAAATAAAACAAAAAATAAAAAGTTAACCAAAGTTTCTACTGTAAAAATTCTTACGAAGATGAAGCAATTCATGCCTCCTTACTGCTGGTGAAAACAAACCGAAGATAAAAAGGATATAAACTAGGAAAAAAATTCTACTATTCAGGGGCTCACATTTTATTTGGGAAATTTTAATCAAAATATGAAGGGTTTTTTTCAATAGGAAAACCTAAAATTAAAATTGGATGTATAGTTTGGCAAGCCCAAAGTGACTTTAAAAACAAACAGCTCCATTAGCAGCTGAAGAAATCCTTTAGTTGATTTTTCTTTTCCATTATATTTTAATATGTGAAATGCAAAGCTCCTAATTTTGTGACTGAATCTGGGCATGGGGCTTAAAAAAAGTCGCACAGTTTTTAATTTGTCTAAGAGTGAGAATCTTCAGTCAAAAACAGACAGCTCAGCATGTTTTTGAGTAAAAGGAAGAGGAGACGAGCCTTTTTCTCTGGAGATGAAAAGTCACAACTAAGTTTAATTTTTTCTCCAACTTTTAAGGTTGAGGGTCTTCTTTTGCTCATATTAACTTCTGTTTATTTTATTTTTTTCCTGTCTTCAGGTGGCGTTGGCATTGCAGCCACTCAGCTGTGCAAGACTGTGAAAGATGTGACCGTGTTCGGCACTGCCTCGGCAAGCAAACATGAGGCCATCAGTCAGGGTGGAGTCACACATACCATTGACTATCGCACCAAGGACTATGTGGAGGAAGTGCGCAAGATCAGCCCAAAAGGTGAGAAAGAAAAACATCCACAAAGATGCGACATTTAGATTTTGTTTCCACTGGGGAATGCAATTACTGTAAACTGAATTCCTGTTTATAGTAGTGTGTACTTGTTTGTTGGATTTTTCTGATAGGACAACTGCTTAGGCTCAATAGATACCTCATAGTGCAAAGTTATACACTCTGTGTGGTAAATTGTAAGTATGATCAGATTATTATTATTTTATTTTTCTTACAGTTGGCTTTCATTCTCATCAGGCTGGCAGCACATAAGGAGTCATTTTCCCACCAAGCAAATACTACACTCTGCCCCATGTAGCAAACATAGATTTATGTTTCCAAAATTGCTGCTTGGAGATGAATGACTCTTTGTTTAGCTAAATAGAACAAAGTCTAGTCTCCTCTTGCTGTTTAATGTATGATATGGTTTCTCAGAAGCCCATCTCATTGGCGCATCTCCAACCTGTCTCTTTTCATTTTGGAGTCAGGCAGACAGATAGGTTGCAAGCAAGAGCTGACACTTTACACAGAATGTATCTAATTAGTAGCCTAGATCAATGGGCTCACCACCAGTCCTTCTATATTTGACTCTTTGTCAATTCATGTGTGCTCTGGTCAGGGCAGAGTCCTGCTGTGAGCCCAAACAATCAATGGGACCTGGGTTTAACGGAGCAAGGAGGGGTAACCCAATTTAAGGAGTTCCCTCTGGCACAAAGGAACATCATTAAGGCAGAACCTACATGGTTGGACATTAATAAGCCACAGAGAAACCTTTATATTCTCCTTTTACCATCTGCGCAGAGGCTGGATTGTTATGCTGAAAAGATAACAACAGGGAGACATCGCATCTGTCTTGTCAGATGAGGGACATGAATGGAAAAAATGATCATATATGAAGGTTTTGTTGTCTTCCTCCTGTCCTCCTTCATGGGTTTGAGTAAACACTGAGCAGCTTGGCTACACTCACTATTCCTAGTGAACTTTGGCATGCAGAGGGGCCACTAAGGAGACCTGGCAGGCTGCTCTGGCTGAATTCACCCTAGAGATAATTTCCACCGCTTGTCTCCTCTGCCCCAGGGCTGGACATCGTGCTCGACCCTCTCGGAGGATCAGACACCCACAAGGCCTACAATCTGCTGAAGCCTATGGGAAAGCTCATCACCTATGGTAAGTGAAAATGAATCCAATAAAAAAAAAATTGTATCGTGAAAACACAATATAGCCTTTTGTTAACCTTTTCTGTAAAAGCTATAAAATTCACTGTTATTCACAATGGTTACATACAGATCAACATGTTGTGGTTAGTTCTTTTTATTTTGTAATAAACATTTTTTTTTTTATCTAGTTAAAGTCCTCCCTTCCAAAGACAAGCTTTTCTTTCAAGGATTTTTAATTGCATTTTATCAGATCAGGCACAGGGCCACCAATCAGTAAGAAGCTCTTAACATTTATATTGTTGTTGCTTTGTCTTCCTCTTTGAATGATTGCATGTTTTAATCAACTAAGTCATTCAAAGGTGTTTACTTCTGCCTCAAATTGCAGAGGCAACCATACTGTCACTTTATGAGAACACATTTTCACTGTTGCATCACTGGACCAAACTTAAAATCACAAACTTAAAGACACAAAATTTTCTTGTCCTATATTCTTTCTCCAATATCTACAGAGTAGAATTCAAGGTTCCATCAACAATGACAAGTCATCAGGCCTTAAAGCAGTATAGTCCCAAACCCTGACACTATCCACCGACCTGCTTTATTGTTGGTTGGATGTTCTTTTTCTGACACCTTGGCTGTGTCCACTTGTCCGCCCTAACCCCTTTATAAATCACTATATAGGGCCCTAAGCCATTTTATACGAGTGTCTAGAATGTCTACTAAATGAAAAGATATTTCCCCTGATGTTTTGCAAGAGTTCTCCTTGCAAAGCATCATGGGGCTTGTTTTGCAGGTGAAAGAGAACAAAGATGGCACAGGCAATGTGCCGGGAGCCAGAGTCACTCAAAAAGTAGTGATTATTTGTCCAAATTACCCATTAAATGAGTACACTATAGATATCTCTGTATAGTCCCCATTTTCAGTTTTTTTATTTATTTTATTTTTTTTCACCAAGTTCACCAAAAGCTTTGTTGATCTATAAGAAGTTTTTAGGCAAATTTAGGTCCTGGTCTTTTGGGTCAGCAGACGATTTGGCCTTGGAACTCCGACCTGAACATTTTTGCCCACTCTCTCTTTCTTATTGTTGAATCGTGAACTCTGACCTTGATTGAGACAAGTGAGGCCTGCAGTGCTTTAGATTTTGTTCTGGGTTCTTTTGTGACCTCCTGGCGGGTCGTTGATGGCCAAGAAAGTTCAGTCTTGCTCTGTTTTCTTCATCTGTGGATAATTGCTCTCCGTTTACTGGACGGCCAAAGCCTTAGAAGTTTTTTCAACCCCTTACAGGTTGATAGCTGCAAATGACTTTATTTTCCATCTGAAATTCTTTGCACTTAGTAAGGAGTTACATTTGGTAAGTAAACAGGCATGGGATTATGTAGTGAAATTGAAATGTGGTAAAATCGTGGACCAAAATTTCTTCAAAAATATGTAAAAAATGTGTTGCCAGTTACTGCAAACTCTTGACAGTAGTCGTTACCACCAGTGGTGATGTAACAGTTTTGGCTCCACACATGCTGCCACACACGCTGCCATATACTGGAAAATCACTGAACCATTTAAAGTGGTAAAAACATGAGGCAAACTGATTTGCACCAACTTAAGTCCTTAAGTCCATTATCACAGTTTAATACAACTTCATCATCCAAGATAGCATCCATCATAGTTTGAGTCATTGTAGGTAACACTGTGGCTGAAAGACATCAAGGTTGAAACTTTCACAATTAAAAAAACTGGAATACTTTGCAAGATAGTTAACTTTTCAAAAAAGAAATAGAAGGTATTCCAGCTAAAACAGACTAAATAGCAATTGCAGCCATGTTCATTTTCCTTCAGCCTGCCGCTTCTGGTTGATATCATATATGTCACTACATTTGCGTTATTGGTAACATTTCTGATTTTGAGGATCACAAATCTTTTGGCTTCTAGCTAGATGTGTTTTCAGAATTTACTGAATTCATAAATCTTGCATCAATTCATAATGCTTGCAAGGTAATGATTATTTACCTCTTATGATGTAATCAATGTAAATCCACTTAAAGCACATACATTTCTTTCCTTCTTTTAAAGTGAAATTTTTCTGAAATTCATTTATGATCCTGTTTTTAGGTCTCCCAAAATATTGCCTCCTCTTTCAAACTTCCATTTTAGCACTTGAGACTTAAATGAAAAAAGATGACAGCCAGCATTAAAGGCAGTTGAAGCCTGCTGACATCTGGGAGGAGAGATGTCTGCAAACATTCCTTAGAACACATCAGCTACATGTTCAGATTATCAGAGCAAATTCTTTACATTCTTATCAAGCTTATCTGGGATTTATCCTGAAGTATTTACACCACTACATTTTAACTTTTAAGTAGCAATTGAACAAAAAACAAAAACTGTGTTGCTCCTTTTTCATAGAAAATAAAAACATTCTCCTTAGATATTTCATATGGTTGTAAATAGATAGAATAGTTGTGGGTTTCACACTAGCTGCAGAGTAAAGCTGCTTTGTAGTGGGTGGACTGGCCTCTGTGGAGGCCCCTGTCCACAGTGTGCTGTATGTCGTCCGTGGGAAGCCCTTTTACGCTCTTTCAGTTACAATGCAAATCCAAATGCATGCAAGAGGTGGGCGGGGTCGGCATCCACGGAGAACAGGGCCGCGGCTTTTTTTTTTTTTTTTTTTTTTTTTTTTGCATGTTGCTCAGAAAGTCGCTACCCAGCATGGTGCCCTCCACCCTCAACCGTTCAGCCTCTCTGGTTTTTCTGCGCTGGGCTGCTTCTCCTCCAGTTCGTCAGAAGTAGGCACGGTGGAACAATGGGGCGTTCTATCCCCATGAAACCTGGAATGTGTGTGAATACAGCGGGCCGGGTCCCTCAATTCTCTCAAAACATGCTTTGTCCCTGCCACCCACCCCCCTCTATTTTCCCCAACCCAAGGAACGCAAAGATTGAGAGTAGAAAGACCGTTAAGTGAACCCGTGAGGAGGGGGATTGGAGGTGGATGTGTTGGCAGTGACAGCTGAAGTGCTAAAGAGGTTTTCCTGGGTGAGAGAATAGGTGACAACCTACAAAGAGACAGAGGTGAAAGAATGAACAGGGCTTGGTTCACTTGCTTAAGAGAGGTGTGACCGTCTAATACCACCGCTTTTCTAATGTTTTAAGCTGAACATAAACAAATAAACACTTGATTTAAAGTTAATGGAGTCAAACCTTTTTTTTTTTTCTCCACTCAGGTACAGCCAACATGCTGGCAGGCCAAAGGAAGAACCTGATTGCCGTTGCTAAGAACTGGTACCACCAGTTCTCCATCCACACACTCAGTCTTATTCAAGGTAACAAGTCTGTGTGCGGGTTTCACCTGGGCTACCTGGACGGGGAGATAGAGCTCATCACTCAGGCTATGAACACCATCCTGGATCTGTACAAGCAGGGCAAAGTCAAACCCCGCATCGACTCCACCTGGCATCTTGAGCAGGTTTGCTTTGTGTTTTTTTCAGACCAGTTCTTTGTCACAAATATTCACTCAGATTAGCTGAAAATGTGTGTTTTTATAGACTTTCAGTGTAACGTTTTTGCAAAAACACACATCTGTGTGAAAATATTCAAGAATATTAAATGTACGAAACATTTGTTGACAGGTTACCAGCTTAAAGGTTAAATTATTTTCCTTTTTTGTGGTCCTTACATTGGTTCAAATCTAACAAAGATTACAAAAAGTCCATAGGAACCTGAGTAAATACAAAAATCTTTTATTTCAGATTTCAATCAATTCAGTTTGTTTATATAAAAACCTACTGAAATGCAAACAAAGCTCAACCCAGTTATACTAACAGATTCCAAGTCAAGTGTTTTTAATTGATTCTTTTTATAGAACAATGCTGCCAAGTTCAATAAGTTATTAATTTGGTTAATAAGTTTTCTTTGTAAAGAAACCCAAAAGATTTTGATGAGTCACTGACATGCAGAATTAACTCTTACTAGATGAACAAGTATTGTGAGTGGACGGCACACATGTTGATGACTTGGTGAAATCTAATTTCAAAACTGCTTTTGGTTTTAATTCAGGTTATCTTCCTCTGATAATACTAACTTCCTAAGAACTGTGTATTACTGCATGAAAAGTCAGATTCTTGAACACCTAACAGCCACGAATTCTACTGCTTTGTGGGAATTTGCAGCCATTTAAGGTTGGAAGAGCTTGAATTCTCTGAGCGAGAAACTCCTGATTGCAAACACTATAGGGAGAGTGGGGAGGTCCAATAAACATATAAATTGCTACTCTAGCCTAGTCAGTCAGAAATCATGTGTGGTTGGCTGTTAGAAGTCCATCAGATGTCCATATAATCTGTAATACTCCCTGTACAATCATAATTAAGCTATTTATATGCATAAATCAAGCGAAACACTATGGCGATAGCCATACTGCTCCACTTGTGAGAGTAAAACCTTTGGGCCCTTTTTTGGCATCAAGACACTTATTCTTATTGTCAAACAGGACACTGTTAAAAAACCCAAAAGATGTCCATCAGATCGGTTCCTACCTATGAGTTTGTGATAAAATATATCCAACTGTGTGGAGCATAATAAGTGTTTGCTTTCCAACACCTTCTGGCTCCTCCATAGACGCTCAAATGACTCTGAAGTCATTGGGTGCATCAGAGATGGACGAGAAGCTGAGTACAGGAAGCTGGTGAACCGCTTTGCAACATGATGTGGAAACAATTATTTGATCCTGAATGTGAACAAAAACCAAACAAGGGAGATGACTGTAGATTTCAGAAGAAACAGTAACAAGTGGAATCCTATGAGCATCAAATGCCTGAAAGAAGCTCAACAAGCTGATAAAAATGTTACCAACTACATTATTTATGTTAAAACTAGTGTTGTGCCGATGCCATTTTTTGGCCCCGATACTGATACCCGATACCTGGCTGTGCAGTATCGGCCGATACCGATACCATAATAATGTAAAATAATTGCCATCATGGCTTTGTCAAGCTGCTGCCTACTTTTGTGAAGCAGGAAAAAATCTAATTCAAAGTGATTCCAGTAGAACTTTTTATTGCCTACCAGGAGTGGGTGACAATAGTTGAATAAACTTATGGCTCTCAAAATGGTATCGGTGCCCTATTTGTTGGTACTTGCCGTTGGTACTTCTGAGTTCAAGCCCCACTCCCACGGACTGACACTCTTGGTCCCTGAGCAAGACCTTAACCCCACACTGCTTCCGCACTATGGCAGCCCACTGCTCCCCAAGGTGATGGGTTAAATGCAGAGAGTTCATTCCCTTGCTCTGTACTTATGAGAGTGTAATGACAATACAAAAACTGAAAAACAAATATTCAGCTACTATATTCATCACTCTGAAGCCTTTTATTCAGTGTTTTAGCATATAAAATTATTTCTTCTTGGTTTACTATTACCACTATGTACTATGTCCTCCAAAATTACAGTTATTTTAGTATCTTAAGGATTTTTCTTGTTGTGTTTTATTGACTGATGTACTAATATTTAATTGTTTCCAATTAGAAAGAGTGAAGTTGGCTAATTCTTTTTAAATTTTAAGAAAACAGAAATCAAAATAACCATTAGCCTTACGTTCTGCTGCAGTTTTACATGCCAAATACTGTCAACAACCCCCCGTATCATTCCAGTGTATCAAGCTTTTATTAGCTACTGTTTAAAAAACAAAATTCAATTCAATTCAGTTTATTTACATAGTGCCAATTCACAACACGTCATCTCAAGGCACTTTACAGTTCAACCAGATCATACAGTCAAATTGATTCAAAGTTTTCTATCTAAGGAAAACCAGTTGATTGCATCGACTCATTGACTCAAATACAATCCCTTACACTATAACCAAGTTCTATCATTTTATTTCTACTTAGACTCTTCTCTAGACGGAGCCTCGTGAGGAAGTTCATCCCTGTTTAGATAAATTTTATTATTTTAAGAAATTTAAAAGAAAAAACATTGATTAGTTTAATGACAAGAAAATCATAATTTTTCCACACTAAGAAAAAACTTAATTTCTTGTTCTGGATGGAAGTCATAAAATGTTACGGCTCATATTGGGTTTTTTTTTAGCACAACTTCACAGATGTAGAGCTAAAGAATCAATTGCTATTTTAACAGAGCATGTCAGTAAAGATCAATAGAAAATAAAATTGGTTAAGGCAAAAATATTGGCTTTTCTTTGTTTTTAACCATTCTTCCTTTTTTAAACTGTACAAGTATCTGTTTATGATTTGTCTATTTTGTACTCAGAAGTATATTTTCCTAAAGAGCATCTGTGTTTGGATGTTCATCTGATTGAATCCATCCCTCCTCCTCTTACTCTGATTGATTCATTGTGACTTGGCTGCAGGCTCTCCTGAATAACATTCTGTTGTAGGTTTTTGCAAATGCTATAAACACATTAATGCCAGGTGCTTTTCGTGCCTTTGTGTGCCTGTTGGTAGGATCTGCAGCAGCTGGGCGTGGCCCTGATACTCGCATTCAGAACCAGAAAGTTGTCCACAAGACGCTCAGTGTCTCGTGCAGCAGAAGTCACTGTGGCCGAAAGGCTCTGATTGTTGCAGACTGATTTACAGCGTTAACTGATATGAATGCAGAGGCAGAAAAGGAAGCGTCATAAGGATATCTTCTGTTATGAAAATCAGGGCTGGGCAGTATTTTGGCTCTGTGGCCAGAGAGAAACACCCGCTGTCTTTCTCTGCCATCTGAAGCTCTTTCTCTGCCTCTCCATCTGCCCTCTCTTTATCTCCGTTCTTGTTTCTAGCCATCCTTAGGTTATTGACTCCCTCTCTGTCTCTCTCTCTCTTTATTCTCTCCTTCTCCCTGTTTGCTGTGGATCTTTTTTTCCTCTTTCTCTCCTGTTGCTATGGTGACATCCTTTAGTCAGCGTATGCGTTTATCTTAGGGAGGAGCCATGATGTATGAAGAAAGACATGATGTAAAGATAAAGAGTAGAAATATAGGTGGATATCATCTCTTTTTTTGTAAAGTTAGCCGGTTATAGGACATCACAGCGTGTGGTGTCTTAGAGACAAAAATCAGCCAAGAAACAGTAGATGAATTATTTTAACCTGAGTAAAGATGCCACGCCCTGACTCCAATCATCACAACCTTGTAGTCCTCTGATTTACAAGAGAAATCTTATTAACTTGCATAAAGATTTGGAGCCATTGTCTCCAACAGATTCATATAGCTTGTTGCAGTTTATATGATTATTTCAATAAGAGAAAAATAATTATTCAAACAAGCCTCGTTCTGTGTGGAAAAAAAATCATTGCACTTGCCTTTTTTCAACGATGAATTAACTGATTAAACACTTTCCTTTGGTTCAATTCCAACTGCTTTCAGCAGCCTGAGGGATCAATGGTTATTACTTATATAGTGCCCATCTGGCAATATGAAGTAGGCTCAAAGAATACAAGAAGCAACATATCATGACACAATCCCAAAGTAATTTAACAGATAAAAAAGAAATGCATGTATTATTTTTCTACCTGCATACTGTTATTGTCCTTGTTTTATCCTATCTTCTTTTTTATCCCCATAGGAGCTTTTTTTCCATACTGTGGTTGTTTGATTACAATCGGACAACCAAAGTGAAATTCCTTGTTTTTGCACAATAAAACAGAGAAGTTGACTCTGACAAAAACATTATACAGACAGTTAGACATGGTAGTTGTCTGGTGATTATCTGGGACTTATTTGCAGCTTCATGGCCAAGTTTTGCCATAATTGTTGGAGCCAGTTGAATTTGCTCTAGAGCAGAAGATTCTGAAGGAGATTGTCTGATCTTGCAAACATAAGCTCTAGTGCTCTTGGATTTTGCATTCAGACATTGATCCAAATTTCAGCAAAACCATCTCAGCTCTCAAAACCTGGATTTAAATCCAATTAAGATGACTTGTTATGACCTGCTTGAAAACCTCCTATGTGGACCAAAGCTCCTCCAATGTATTGTAAAACTTTGCAACCAAGTGATGTACAAACAGGTATTAGCTTTAGGATATAATGTTGCACTTAATAGATGCTGTTTCACTAAAATACTACATTAAATCATCATTCTAAAACCAGATTTTTATTTTCCTCTTTTTACCTAATCTGGTATTAAAATTTGCTTGATGATCTAAATCATGAAAGTTTGATATAAAAGAAATCTATAAGGGGGCAAAAACTTTTTCACTGCATAAAACATCTTCCTTGAGATGACAGTGATAAAAAAAAAGTCCAAATGAAGAAAGTTTTAAGTTATTTAGCAAGTTCCTATTTTTCTCCAAGCTTAATCTGTTAATTAATTATACTTTAATAAATGTAAAAGTCTTAAATATGAGGTTCATAAACTGGATTTCAAAAGGGTTAGATCCCCTCAAGATGCTTGCAAAATATGCTAGAAAATAAGATGTGGATCCTAACCTGCTAGTAAACAGTGGCTACTTCTTATATCTTGAAAAAAAGAAACTGTCCACATTTAATCGTAAGATAAGGAGGCAATAGTTGCCTCTTATTCCCTCAGGGTATAGGTAAAATAGGCCCAGTCACATAAGGACTGTGCTGTGGTTACATCGTTATAAGGAATTCAGTTTGAGCTTTTACTTTGGATGAATTTCATCTGATTATGCCAAATTTGTTCACAATTGCATCTATATGTTTCCCAAAGGCTTATCCCTGCAACATAACAGGGCAGCACACCAAGTCATTTCTGGTGGCCATGCTTAAGTTTAAAATCATGGGATCATTCCGTCCATAGACTGTGTTAAAAGTTCCTCCAGCGATAAATTATATGCAGCAGTGGTTTATAAATGGAAGTTGTATATAGAAAACAGCACAAGCCGTGTTAAAAAACAAAAAATCCTCTTATTTACAGCATAATCTGTCATTTACTAAGTCAGTTGTTTTTTGTTTGTTTTGTTTTATTTTTCTGAAGCAGATTTTTCATGTACCCCACACAGAAAAGCCACACAAGATACAAAGTGGAACCTTGTAAACATTTTCATTTGGTCTGTTTTGTTGTTCCAATTTTTAATATGTTTTGAATTTCATGTTAAAAAAAGAACATATAGTGCATTTGTAAAGTGGAGCAAATGTAGCTATATGATGAAACGAGAAAAAAAAGACTGGAGTGTATTTTGGTTGAACACCCTTAATCAACAGCGTGGGTAACTACCTTTATTGCAATTAGCTCTGCAGATCTTCTGGTGAATGTCTCTACCAGCGTTTGACATCAGGAGAGTGAAATTGTTCCTATTTTCCTTTAAAAAAACAGCTAAGGCTCAGTCAGATTAGATGAAGAGTATCAATGAACATCAAATTTCCACACATATTTTCAGTTGGATTATTTAACTTCAACTAGATGGTTCTAAAACATGCAGCTTTGATCTGAGCTGATATTTGTTTAAGGGCTGAGTCCTGGAGGAAACTAAACCTGCTTCTGTCCTAATATTTCTATCTTCCATCAGGTGTTCAACTGAATTTATCTGCATGAACCCAGGTAGTTTGCTTCTTTTTACCCTCTGAAGAAAACTGTCTCCACAGCATAATACTCCCACCACTGTGTTTTACCCCTAAATTAGTGTGTTTATTGTAGTCTTTAGGTTTTGTTCTCCACCACAAATGCCAGAATAAATGAATAAATGACATTTTTAACATACTTGATTAGGATAAACATGTTTACTGTTTTCCAAACATCCCGTGTGACAAATGGTATTTCTTATTACATTCCTTTAAATAATTGGCTTTCAAACTGCTCCTTAGACGTAACAGACAGATTTTTTGATTCCACAAATTAGACGTATCAGCTGTTGGATAGTTTGTGTTTATGTCATCTTGGATTGGGACATATTAGAGGTTATTTGAACATATTATTGCAAGATCTAAAATAACACATAAATCAGATAAACTTTGGTGCTCTGGTTTTTTACTTTTTTGCACCAGTAAAGTACCTAACATGGTAAACTGTTTTATCAGAGATACGTTTAAAGGTGTGCAGATTGTTTTGAAAGAGCCCCAGGCCTTTTCACCTTAACTTTTGTTCACTTTGGAAACTATTTTCATAAATCCTGAACTTATCCTTCCGCTTTGTCTGAAGGATACCAGTTGCTCCGACCCCCTCCTTCTGCTTGCGAACTCCCACACTCCCCCCCCACCCGTTCGTTCCCATGTGTCGGAGTCGTCAGAGCCACGATTCAGCCAGGCTTTACGTTGCTAGGAGATGGCCCTGTTGCCTTGGCATTGGTTGTTAGGTGGTCTGCCTGCCTCGCACACATGGGGTGGGGGAATTGGTAGAAAGAGGAAAGGGAGGGGGTGACGAAGACAAGAGCAGACAGTGGACAGAGCTCAGTGGTCAAAGAAGGAGCAGGGTGGGGCAGATCTTGGCTGGAATCCTCCACTCATTATTATGATGGAGAGCCACTCGGTCTATTTATCACTGCGTGGGGGTTCAGGGGTTTGGGGGTAGTTGTTAGAGGAGAGCATTTACTACAAGGGAAAATAGTTTGCAGGAATATTTTTGAGATAACGTTTGTGTCAGGGACCAACATATATATTGCTATTCTTATTAGATGAATGGGTATCTTTTTAAATATATGTACACATCTTCATAAGATCAAACAATACTAACAAGAACATCTGTGCAGCATTTTGCTGCTGGCAGTCTCATTTCCACTGGCCTTAAAGCAATTTCCTTGTGAGGTTAATATATTTCATAATTATGTATTATCTTATCTTTTTAACCATATTTCATTCAAATGTTAATCTATACTTTGAAACCACAGGTGAGCACGATTTAAAACCCAGTAGATTGTACCCTTTGAAATTATAGATTTCAGTATATTCACGTTTACATCTGTATTTGTACCAGTAAAATATATAAGCAGAATTCCCATGTTGGTGAACATACATTGGCAGGTACTCCTTAAAAACTCCTTCTTAGAGTACTGAAGTTTGTTGAAACTACAACAGGAATGTATGTTAAACGTAATTGAGGATCAGTTCATGTAATAAAATATGAAACCACCAACAGCTAAAAGGTATGACTACCTGATGGCGGGTTTATTTATTGATTCATCTGTTGTTGTATTCTATGGTTTAGAAAGGCCAACTTTTAACTCCCCTAATCTAATTGTCTGCCTCTTTCTTGTAAAAAATGAAAACATCTACAATAGAGCTTCACTAGTTCTACCAAAGGCAATTTATGCTTTTGATTTTTTATTCTTAGCAACAAAATTAACCACATGCAAATGTAGATTTCCACCAATCAGAAAGCTCTTATTTTTTCCCACTTCAAATTTTTCTGATTCCGATTTCTCTTTACTGATTGATTGTTCATAAAGGAAGCAGAGTCAGGATTATATCACATGAGCGAGGATTTGATTAAAAACCAAGTTTTATTAATATCTTTAAACAAACTAAAACGCATTGCAGAGGTAATAATAAACTTATTACATTTATATATTTATGAGAGCTAACAGTTTCCTCTTGAACAGCATATTTTAATAATACTAAAAAACAAGTAAGCTTCTTCATCTATTAACTGTTATTAATGTTGCTGTCAGTGCGCCTCTGTAGGCTTGGTGGTTTATCTGAGGGTCAGATTCCTAAGGAAAAAGAACTCTGTTTTTAGACTACACCAGTTTTAGTTTATTACTTTATGTTCCTGCCTCATTACTGTCAGATATGGTAAATTTAGGATCAATCCCCTTTAAGTCATGGGTGAGCGGTTAGGGTGTCAGACTTGGATCCCAAAGGTTACCGGTTCGACTCCCGACCCGCCAGGTTGGTGGGGGGAGTAATTAACCAGCGCTCTCCCCCATCCTCCTCCATGACTGAGGTACCCTGAGCATGGTACCGTCCCGCCACACTGCTCCCTTGGGGCGCCATTTGAGGGCTGCCCCCTTGCACGGGTGAGGCATAAATGCAATTTCATTGTGTGCAGTGTGTGCTGTGTCACAATGACAATGGGAGTTGGAGTTTCCCAAAGGGCTTTCACTTTTTTTTCACTTTCATTTAAGAATAAACCCATTTTACACGTCTGAAAAGACATTCAGACCAAATGTTTATTGGAAGGTATAGAAGAGACATGCACATGCAGAAAATTAAACACTAACTCCTAAAGAAATCGGTTTAGTTCCTAATCTAAATCACCTAAAAACAACTTTGGAGTCATAAGTCCAACAGTTATATGAAAATAACCAATGAAAACTAAATATAATACTATGAGTTTAACTTTTGGAGAAAATATATGAAAATTACCCACAAAAATTTGGGGTCTAAAGGTTTTAGAAGACAGAAAATCCTTGCTGATTTAAACCAGATGGATAGGTTTCACGTATAACTTTCTCCTATAATAGGAAACCTCTTGATGAACTGTAGAAAAATTAGTCTAAATTCAGTTTTTCAAAGAGAACTATATTAAGAAAAAAATTTGAAGCTTTAAAAATTGTTATATAAAATAATCTTCAATGTAAAAGTTTCTGATTTATCCTGGTCTTTATCTTTCCTCTTCTCTCGTTTTCTGGGCACATTGTGCTTGTTGCATGTTTCTACAAAAGTTTAATTTCCTTTCAAATATTAACAACATTTCTTATAGTCATGTTTGAAAAAAGCAGAGGGGATTATTTTATAGGCAGCTGTATAAAATAAAAAATAAAAACCAGAGATAAAAGGCTGAAAGACAACAGTTATTGTTTTGGGTTTTTTTTTTTTCATGTCACGTTTGCTCCTCAACTGTGGTTTGATCCTTTCATGTAGCTGATTATCCAACCTTCCTTCTCCAGGTTGGCGATGCCATGAGGAAGATGCAGGAGAGGAACAACGTCGGCAAAGTGATCCTCACCACTGAGCCTATGCCGGAGGAGGAGAAGAAGGAAGAGGCCAAGAAGGAGGACAAGAAAGAGGACAAGAAGAAGGATGATAAGAAGAAGGATGACAAGAAGAAGGACGATGGAAAGAAGGAGGAGAAGAAGGAGGAGAAGAAGAAAGAGGAGCCTAAGAAAGAGGAGAAGAAAGAAGAGAAGAAGGAGGAGGAGAAGAAGGAAGAGGTCAAGAAGGAGGAGAAGTGAGAGGGGAAGATGGATAGTCAAGCAGATCAGCAGCAGGGAGTTTGTGTCCTGGGAGCAGGGGAGGTGGCAGGGATGAGCTTGGTGGTGGAGTTGCAGAGGGTTGGGGGTGGAGCGGTAGCAGAGATGGGAAGGACTTGGGGTAAATTTGAAATGATGGCACCAGTCTCACTCTTTTACCCCCCCTCTGCCTCACCTACTGGGTGATTACTCAGGTCCGGCTGCTCCCACCTCCACTTTCCTCTTCTCTTACATTCACCTTTTAAAAAAATCAGATCCTTCAGCCCTGCATACGTTCTAATCTCATTTCCTCCCTCCCCCCACCCTTATAGTATTAATCGATATTTGGCTATTGGGAATCAAAGTGTCAGGAGAGCCATGGAGGATGGTGGGTTTGGTCCAACCTGGGGGCAAATTACCATCTCCCTGAAAACCTTAATCTCCTTTCACACTCCGGCCCCACCCTTGACCCCCGGTGCCCCCTCTGCATCTCGACTCCCACCGTGCTAAATTGTTCTGCTCTGACTTCCACCTGCCACCTCCGCTTTCCCTCCCTCACTGTGCTGAGTCCCTCCCCACCACCACAAGCACCTCCCACAGCATCATCAGCCGGACCCACAGACAGGCACCAAAGGCAGGCAGATAAACTGAGAACCACACCCACCCACTCGCATGTTGCTTTCTGCGTCCAGCTCAGTTATGTCACTAAAGATGAGTCAGAGAGGCCTCTGATTGGCTGATGCGCCTCCCCTGGAGATATTTTCATTGTAGTTTTCTGATCATCATGTTTAACTACTTAGAAAAATGTCATGAGAGCTACTGAGAAAAAAAATGGTTTCCCATCAAAAGCCAATCAAGTTCATGTAGCTTTGCCTGAATATGAATTTCCTCACATAATGAGCCTTTCTGTTCTCTGTTCAATAGCGCCGGCTGATATGATTTTCCAGCTTCCTTCTCCTTAGTTACAGATTTTTCTAGCTGGCCAACTGTTGGCAAGAAGTGCAAGATGTCAATTAAGAGAGAAATTGTTCCTGTACACATACGTGCATGCGCTAAAAGCGATGAAAGAGCCACTGTCACACCAAGACAGTGAGGCGCTTGAAGTGAGTGCGTGAAAAAGGTTTTTCAATTGCTTTTGTTTTCCTTCGCTCCAGACTTGCTTTCCTCCCTGATCCAGCGAGAGGAATTTCATTGCATTCCGTTCTTCCCTTCGATCACTCTGACCCAGGAGAGGAGAATTCAGCCAGCTCTGTTGTCCATGCTTCGCCTCCCCACCTCCTCCCTCTTCCTCCTCTTTCTGTTTCCCTCTTTATGGTCGGCATAGCAACAGGCGTCAGGCTCGTCAGAGATGGCTCTGTGGTCTTTCTTTTTTTCTCCTCTCTTCCAACTCCCTCTCTGTGTCTCTGTCTTCACGCTCTTCTAACTTTGCGTTTGCAAGCCGTTGGTGCTCTCAGATGGTATTTCAACAGGTTGAAGCTGTTTTATGAAACAGGAAGTCTTCAAGCATTTAAGCTCGCTCTACTAAACCTCAATGCAACCAATCCTTAAATGTGATGCTTTATAATTGGGGATATTAATGGCTCATACTAAAGCTCAGTCAGTAACTCTGACGCCAAAAGAACACTGAATTAAATACCGGGGAAAAGTATTTACGTACTTCTCATAGTTCTCCAGTTTTTCACCCTGAACTTTTGATAAAGCACATCAGACCAGTAATCTGTTTTTAAAAAAGGACGTTTTCATTGATGATGTTATTTATTAAGAGAGAAAAGCTATCCAAGATAGGGCCTTGTGTGAAACAGAAATTCCCTTCTAGATCTAATAATAATCTAATAACTAGTGACGCAACCTTTGGCAACAAGAACTGCCATCCACCTATTGCGATAACTAGTAATGAGTATTTTTACACCTCTGTGGGGAAAATTAGTTCACTCTTCTGTGCAGAATTATTTTGCAGAATCAAAATACTTTATTCTTTGATGATCAATTTTTATCCTCGCAGCTTGAAGTGCTTCAAATGTTCTGTAGGGTTCTTTGTGACCTCCTGTTGAATGGAGGTTTTTTATTGAGTCATGGGTAGATCTAACACTCCTTGGAAGGATTACAACTATTCTGTGTTTTTCACGTTTTGAGAATAATGGCTTTTATTGGTTTGTTGGAGTCTGAAACCCTTAGATATGGCTTTGTTATCCACTGGACGGATGTAAGTACTTTAAACATTCTGGATGAAAGTATTAAAGGAATAGTACACCCAAAACATGATTAGCCTTCATTTTCTACTCACCTCCATGCTGAACAACACTCTGGAGTACTTTTTTGATATCTCAAATGCATCTGGAGATCTGGGAGGCTTCTTGCTGTCTGCTGACATTCAAATAATGGAGGTCCATGGCGCCCGAGACAGAAAGGTCCATAAAAGTCCACAAAAACGTGTCAATATTCCTCCATACTGCTCGTCCAATGTAATCCAAGTGTCCTGAGTGGGTAGCATCCAGAATTTACTCGAAACGAAGTCATTTAGAATGTTTTTAGAGCATAAACAGTAGTGTATAGGATTACCTAATAGCGCCCCCATGCGCGCTCGCGATTCTACGGAAGCCGGCAGACCAAACCAGCGCATTCAGCTCGGCAAAGAACTCATGCTCTTCCTCAACACTGAAGTCCTCAGACATTTTTCTTTCGTTGTTTCTTTCTTTGCACAGGTAAACAGCACATTTCTTCTTCTACGCTTGCATTATCGGCAGACCAGACGCTGAATGCGCACTTTCTTCCGGTTTGGTCTGCCGGCTTCCGTAGAATCGTGAGCGCGCATGGGGGCGCTATTAGGAAATCCTATACACTACTGTTTATGCTCTAAAAACATTCTAAATGACTTCGTTTCGAGTAAATTCTGGATGCTACCCACTCAGGACACTTGGATTACATTGGACGAGCAGTATGGAGGAATATTGACACGTTTTTGTGGACTTTTATGGACCTTTCTGTCTCGGGCGCCATGGACCTCCATTATTTGAATGTCAGCAGACAGCAAGAAGCCTCCCAGATCTCCAGATGCATTTGAGATATCAAAAAAGTACTCCAGAGTGTTGTTCAGCATGGAGGTGAGTAGAAAATGAAGGCTAATCATGTTTTGGGTGTACTATTCCTTTAAGGCGATTCATGTTGTCAGAGAGGTTCTAGAAGGGATTTCTTAAAGTTCTTGCATTAATCAAGTTGAACTTCGCTTTTTGGGTGAGAACAGCTTTTTTCTCTTGAAAAATTAAATCATGCTTTTGAAGTACTTTTCAAAGTTAATGAATGAATTCATATCTGATATAAGTATGCTTTTGATGATGCATAACATCACCGACGCCATCAGTTGCTTTTTATTTAATCAGCTTCAGACATGATGCCGTCCTGTCCGCCTGCCTGCCTGCCTGTATATGAGTCCGGCTTCACTGTTCAGACTCAGATGGTGACTAGTGACTTTGTAAAAAAAAAAAAAAACAAACAACAAAAAGATTGTTTCCAAAAAAAAAAAAGAAACGGGGGGGAAAAAGTGTTTGTGTTGGCATGAGTGGCCTCCCTCATGTGCTGTGTGTGGTGTGCCATTGTGTGTGAAGACGTGTGTGTCCTCAGGTCGTTTGTCAGGTTTTTCAAATCCCCCACCCTCCTTCCCCCATTTCCACTTCACACTACTCTGCTACAAATATGATGTAGCTTCACACAGACCCTCCTTCCACCTCCATCTCTCCCTCCTGTCTGATAAGAGGCCTGTATTATGAGGACAGTCGGTATTAGTATTTTGCACTCTGCTCGCTGATCTTAATGCACTTGCAAGCATGGAGGTGGCACTCCAGTCCAACCCTGGCTCTAAGTTTTTTTTTCTGTTCTTTTTTTTTTGTTTGGGCTTCAGAGTTGCAGCCTGTTTCTCATCCTTGCAAAGCAGGTGGCACAAACACATTCACTTGAGTAAAGGTCCTCCTCATTTGGGCCAACTTTTCAAATGCATTCATTCATCCTTGACAGTGGGAAGCAAAACACGGAGCTGGAGGAAATGGACTGGAGTGAAACCACCATACTGGTGTGGGGAGTGATTGTGCTCTGTCAGCCTCTGGTTAGTGTTCTGTTCTAATCTGCTGGGCTCCCTTTGTGAACCTGTGGACGGTGCTTCTGTTCTGAGTGCCATGTGAGAAACAATTGCTTCAGTAAAAAAAAAAAGACGAAGAAAGAAAAATGTTTTGCTTACTGTTATTTTGATTTTCCTTTATATTTTTGTTTGTATTTTAGTTATCCGAGGGTTTAAAGTTCAAAGCTCATACAGTACTCCGTGGGGACCTGCTAACCTGCACTCCTTTTAAATGTGATAATTTTTTTTTTTTTATTGTTGTTTTTCTGTTGGTCCAAACCATGTGTGCCAAATTTTATGTATATTCCTCTGTCAATGCTTTGAATATTAACAGTGCATAAAAATATATTGAAAAAAAAAAAAGATTCTGCCTTTGGATGCGTTTCCATCAACCCCTAAGAGGAACAACTGCGGTTTTGTATACGTTTTGAATTTCAGGGAATTGTGGGACCTTTTTTTCATGTAGTTTTCAAAGCATTTGTTGGTTCTGATTGGTTATTTCTGTGCCTCTATCCATGCACAGAGCTTACCTTCAACACAAAGCAGTTGTGTATTTTCTTTTACACAATCATATTATTTTTCCTAAACGTTTACAACTTTAACAACTAAAAAGCAGGAGAGATTCGGACTCAAAACTTCACTAAAATGACTAGATCTCCTCAATATCCAAAGCTTCGCCACATTCCTTACTCCACATATGTTTCTGCCTGTAGCTTTGCAAATGGTCTGTATAGCAAGTGAGGAAAACAGATGTTCTCACACAGCTGTGCAGCGATGCAGATACTGTAAAACAGCCCAACAAAGCCTGGCTTATGGGCTGATCAACCCCAGCCTGCCCCAGACGCAACATTTCCGCTTTAGCACTACTCTCCATTCACTGACGGTTTTTAAGTCATTCCTCTCTGCAGAGCTTCTTGGCCCTGCAGCAGTTTAGCAGCAGCCAAAAGTCCTCCTGGTATCAGCCCCCTTCCCCTCTGCTACCCCTCTTCCCTGCTTTCACAGAAAATAAAACACGATTTTGACATCTGGAATTTGATATCACATGCATTCATCTGCATGTGGAAAACAGATTAGGATCTTTTTTTTTTCTTCTTTTTCCTCCAGTATTTCCCAGTGTTTCTTCTGAGCTAATGCCTATGAGATGAAGTTAATCAGTGAGGCGGTGTTTCATGTCTGGGGTTTAAGCTCAAGTGGATTTTTTGGTTAAAATGAGTCCCACCCCCTTCCTACTTTGGCCTGCCGCCTGGATGCCCTTCCACTATGGTGAGCCCGGATTGTATGTCATCCTAAAGTGGTTTCCCAGTCATTCCAGACACTTATGCAAGAGCAACTCAGAGATGCACTACATGGTAAAAATAGGCAACGTGTGGTCATTTTCTTAGATATGAGGGCACCAATTAACACCGGTAATATAGAGCCAGAGAATATACATTTAAGTCAGTATTTCAAATTCTCCTTTTCTTTGGTTGTCTTGGTTTATGGCCAACGTTCCTCGCAGACACTCCACGGTCAGCATTTGAAGTCATTTTTAATTTTATATGGTTTCTTAAGTTATCCTAAATTGTAGTTTCCACACACACAGCTGCCCAACTATGTTTCATGACACAAACTCCAACTGCATGATTTTCCTTCACAACATTCACATTCCACATGAAGGGTGATCAGTCGGTGGCTCATATTCACTCCAACATCTGCCTGCAGCTCTTACGTTCTCTGCAGTCTCTTTTAAGGTAATGCAATGAAGAGGCATTGCAGAAACGCAAAGAAAGCACAATCTGCCAGGGTTCTTCATGTACAGTTTAGTATTAGGATGCATGTTTAGTCAATTGTGTGTAGCTTCTCATCGGTTTCACATAGTATTGTGGTGTAAAGGAGAAGAGTGCCGTTGAACTGCAGAGTCCCTGCTCTCACCTTCAGGATGGGCAATGCCAAGACCGGCTGGTAAAGCCACAACACATCTTAACCTATCTCTTGGAGTGCTTCGGGAAAACCCATTTCACGTCCCTCCTCCTGGTAGAAGTTCTGTCAGCACTGATCAATTTATACAACGCAACATTTCCTTCACTGATTTTTCTTGGGATTATAGAAGAAAAAGAAAACAAAAACACACTTCTCGCCTCGACTTTGTTTTTTAAACCCTTTGAAACTGCTGCTTCTGTGCTTGACTCTGGGTTTACTGCGTGGTGCCATGCTGTCCCCATGGCCTTTAGAGCTTGTAACGCTTCAGTGTGTAATGTTACCATATGCCTTACATGTTTTCCAGGACTAATAAAAAAAAGCATTAAAAAAAGTCAGGAAATGTGCTCTAATTATTTAAAGTTATATCCTCCAGTAATCTACAGCCACGCGGGTTTGTGGTTTATTCCGTAAAGAACGTTCCAAAGTGTCCATATTTAAACTGAGGCTTAATTAGTAAGAAATGATTGGAAAAGGTGCATGAAGTAATGCAAATTGTGATGACAGGACAATTTAACACAATCGGAGATTGAAGCACGTATAAAAAAATGTTAAAAAATACCTACATATCAATTCTTTGTAAAAATACAATTTTCTATACAATCACGGATAAAGAAGCATACATATATGTTACAGCATATTACAATTTCACAATAATTAAACAGTTAAAATTATATTAATTAAAAAACTTAAAGTACATGAAGAGATTTCATCTGTTCCTTTTTTTTTTCTTTTTTTTGGACCAGGCTGACAGCTACTCAATCCCTTTAGAAGTTAAGATACTGGAGAGGCGTGATAGGTAACCTGAGTCTGGGTACCCTTTCCTGAAAGAAACAACAATTAGGTTTTAATTTGTAGATTAGTTGGATGTTTGTTTGTTTTTTTGGACAATCATATTTTCACTCACTCAGCTTTGCCTCCATATAAACTGGTTTTGTGTGGGATGCCATCCCAGGTGACCCTGGCCTCTCTTCCTTTGCCCGTCACTGTGAAGGTGAGTCCCTGCTTAAAGGCCTTTTCCAGTCGGGGAAGGAGCTTCCTAGCGTTGCCATGGTCTGGGAGGTAGGCTTCAAATAGGCCACCTTTAAATGGTTTACCAGGTGACGGATGACCCTCCTGATCAGAGAGAATTCACATAAAAATCAAAGCCACAAGATATAAATTCAATATTATACCCGTAAACCTTTTGCAGTTTTCAGCATCTCAACTTTTGTGTTCACTTTGCTGTTTCTGGTGCATTATTATCATCCTGCTGAAGGAGCAAGAACTGCCCCATGTTTTAGTTTTCAGCAAGAATTTTATTTAATATCTCCTGTTATTTAAAAAAAAAAAAAAAAAAAAAAGAAAACATCCCGATGTTAAATACTCCATCGTACCAAATAGTCAACATGAGGTTTTTTTTTAACATCCTCTGTTTGACAGCAGGCTACTGAAATGGCCTGAAACTGATGCCTGGAGTATTTGTTCCAGTTTCCATTTCCAGTTAAACTAATCGTGTAAAATTAAATTTGTGATGGTTACCAGGAGACATATACATAATGTATAATGCTACAATTACCTCACAGGAATGGTCTGATCTATTTTCTAGCTTTAAAATATGTATATTAGAGATTTTCTTTTTCTATATGTGGCAAACATCAGTTGATGGATACTTTATGGTGATAGACTATAGCCTTGTGAGACCATCCTGATCTCGCGAGCTTTCAAGATTTCACTCGCTAATCAGTCTGGAAACTCTCCGTTGAAGAAAATTTGGAGCCGTTCACCAAACGAACGTACAATCAGCGTTGGCTTTGAGGCGGGTTGAGGTGTGAGGCAACGAGAAGCCCGACAGTTCAGTCTAAAGGACATGGCGGCTTCAGCCGATGAAACTAGCGTTAGCGTGGCTATCGAGCAAGTTTTATCGGAATTACAGAGTATTTCTTCACTGAAAGAAGAGCAAAACACTGCTCTAGAGGCTTTTCTCAGAGGAAAAGATGTTTTGCTCTTCTCCCGACTGGCTTCGGCAAGAGTAGCCTGGCTTGTGGTTGTGTTTTCGTCATCGGTCTGTTAGTACGTCATATGCTTAGTTGATCTGATTGGTTTATTTGGCCCGTCTATCACCAACATAGGCCAATCAGCTAAACAGTATTTTCGCCCCTTCCCAAAATTACTGCAACGGAAGGTTTCCAGATGGATGTGCGGAGCAAATCCATCTGGCGGAGTCAGGTTAGCTAGACTATTCCAATTAATATAATAAATAGAAATTTCTCAATTCCTCTTAATTGTGAAAATATATATAAAATGGATTTGGATTTAAACTATTTTTAAGTTCACTAAATGGATTCCAATTAACGGCTGGATTCTTTTACAATACAAGATTAATCTTTTTACGGATTTCTATCCATCCTGTGGGCAGTCGGCTACACAACGCAGCATCAACACAGCAGTAGCTGGCGTCCACGGCCAGGATTTGTTGCTGCAGTCAGTCTCTTCTTTTGACGACATGCGGTTTTTACAGGAGAAAGTGCAATGCACATGGTTTCAGTTTATTTATGAAATGCATTTTAATTAGTAGCCTCCAATTCCGTAAAAATGGCATGCCGATCAGGAGCTTTATATAGTGGTTTTATTGAGTTGCTGAAATTATATTTTTTCAAACACCAATATTGGAAGAAAATAAAATTGTGTCTCGTTCTTTGATTTAAACATGCGTTTTTTTAAGCATTCTACATTTCTCATAAAGTTTTGGTTTATTTACTTCAGAAACTTAAGTTTGAGTGACATCACGCGCTCAGCTGCTCTCTCTGTAAAGGTGGAGCCGAAGGCACTAAAAGATAAAAAAACAAGCTCTTTATCAGATGGATCATTGATAGATTCTAATTAAGCTACTCACCCCTTGGATACCATCAGGAATGCGGTAAGTGATCTTGATGGCGGTGTCCTTGGTGTGACCTGGTAAGGCTATGCTCAGTTTGGATTTCTTCATCTCGCCTGAGATTCCTTGGGGTTCCTTGGGCTCTGCCTTATAGCAGATTTTGCAGTAAGTGTGCACCCTTTCTAAGCATTCTGAGCACAGGGTGACCCCACACTTTGCCCTCACCAAAAAATGCTTCCTCTGCTCACAGACAGAGCAGAAAACCTGTCCTTCCGGACCTGACCTGGACTCCGCTGAGTTGCTCTGGGTCTCTGATGATCTATGTCCCGTAAAGTCTGTTTGATGTAATGTCCTCTCTTTCTCACCATTCACGGGATTGTTTTCGATTATTTTTCTATCCTCTTTCTCCCTTAAGACATATTCTTTCTTCACTGATAATTGGCTACTTGCTCCATTAATGGGCCTATTCTCATTAAAGTCTCTGTCATAGGTTGTTTTCCATTGCTGATTCCCACCGTTCCCATTGGCTTTATTGGTTTGGGTGAATGCTACCACCTGATAACTGCTGTCCGGGGCTCGACTTCTGCTTTGGGTTGCATTCAACGGCAAAAAATGGTTTGAGAAGTCATGTTGTTCAGGTTCTCTGGAAAATACCTCCCTCAGTGTAGCAGCAACCTTAGAGCACAGCTGTTCAGGACCAACAAGATACAAGCTCTTCTTCATGGTGTGAATTACGACCTTCTTGAAGCGGCTGCGCACCTCAGAGCAGCAAGCCTGTAAAGTTTCATCGTCAGGATTGGAAATGCCAAGCTCCGCCATCCGCAGCTCCTGAACAGAGAAGTCGGCACCAACTGAGTCAACAAGCGTCTGTAGACGCTCCCGACATAGTTTAACTTTGGACGAGTCGGCCCCTCTCAAGATTATAGTCAAATCCCGACTGCCCTCAGAAAAGCTCTCTTTCATCTGGAGATCAGAGGTCAGGTCCTCCACTCGGGTGCCGTAGGCTTCCTTTATGTACTGCCACATAACCCGGGAAACTGAGATCTCTTCACGATAGACTTCTTGTTTATCCCTCAATGTTTGGCTACTAAAGCTGGAGGATCGCTCCCTGACTCTAGCTGGGGATTTACTGGAATCATCTTGGCTCTTTTGGCCCAAGACCTGAGCTTTCTGCTGAGGGGTTCCTGAGAAACTACTGGCTCGCTTTAAAGTGGATCCAGGCGCAGAAGGTGGAAGTGCACTGCTTGGGAGACTGGAAGGAGTTAAACCAAATGGGGATGTTAAATTCTTTGGTCGGGTATCTGCCGTATTTGTGATCAGTGGTGTTTTAATCGTGGTGAATGCAGATGGAGATGCAGATGCATGTGCTGTTTTAAATAATATGTCCCCTTGTAAAGCTTCTTCACCAGATATCCCTGTTGTTTGGGACTGCACTTCAGTCCTGGGCATCTGTTCCTGATGGGTTTGCCTGCTGGGTGATGCATTTGGGCGGAAAGGAAAGTTCCCCAAACCGGCAAGTCCTGAATCTTTAAACCGAGCGGCTAGTTTATACCTTCTAGCTCCATCACCTCTGAGTTCATCTTCCTCTGATATCAGCCTCCTATGTACCCTTTCATCAAAATGTCCTTCAGCCTGAGAAGTAGTTAAGGGCCCTCGTTCCTCCTCAGCATGAAGTGGTGATGAGCCAGAATTATAAGAAGGGAAATTCAGAAGACTGGCAACATCTTCCTTCCTATTTCTTGATTCCTTGTGGTCTATAAGAAGATAGTGTCTGCCCTCAGCTATATCCTTACTGCTACCAATAAAGTAAATATTCTGCTCATCTTCGTTTAGAAGAAGCTTTGGAAGTCTTGTGCTTAAGTTCTCCATTGCCCTTTGCAGTCCTCCCCCGTGGTTAAGGATGATCTTAGGCATCTGGTCTCGACAGATCTTTGCCTCATTCTCCTGGTAAAGTTGACTTATTGCCTTTTTAGCGAGTGTCACGCGCTCCCGCCCCTCCTCCCCCACTGCTGCATCAGCAATGTGCAAAAACAGAGTGGTCAGGCCCTGATTCGTTTCATTTATCACCTCAATACCAAACTGACTCAGGATTTTATGGTACTCCTTCTTGCAGTGCTTCTGCAGATACTGGAACACATCTGAGTCCACGATCAGAGAGGACTCCTCTATGAAAGCAGTAGGAGAGCCCTGAGCTGCGCTCACTTTGTGATTGGCAGATTCCCAGTTATCATCTCCAGGTGCCAGATTTCTGTTTAAGCTTAAGTTTTTATCCTCTGTTAGAACATCAGAGTAATCTCTTTCTTCTCTAGGTTCTTTTGGCTTGGTAGGATTTCTCCTCTGGTCTTTTGACACTTGAGGCTTCTGTGATTTCTGCAAAGGTGAAATCCTCCTGGAGGCAGCTGGTCCTGAGTCTTTATACTCTGAGAACTGTGGACCTCCAGGATGGCACAGTAGCTGGGCCAAAGCAGCCTGCACCTTGGAGTATGAGCCAGACAATGTACAACACCTCTCAGAAGCAGTCTGGTTTATCTGGACATCCTGATGACTTTCACAAAGGTTTTCCAGTGCATTGATTCCCCCAGGAAGCCGGCTGTAGTCAACCATTGCGGTTAAACTTAGGACGACCTAAAATGTAAAAAACAATGACAATCAAATCCCAGGGTCCTAACTAAATTTCCCAACATGTGCATGATTTTGATCCGTTTTACCTGGTCTGCGTCCAAGCTGTCAGGATGCTCTGAAGCATTAAGTTCATATTTCCTCCCATCTATTTCCAGAACGTGTCGGTAGTCTTGAACAATTCTCTGTGCCACTGTGTAAGAGGGGTCATTGGGGAGAAATCAATCAGAGTCTGAAAAGCTTCCAGAGTAAGCATTTCTGCCTTTGGCTGCATCCGACTCGCATACAGGCATCTCAGCTCAGTGTAAATCACTGCTGACAGCAGAGATACTATCAATATCAATGCCATGTAAATGAGAGCACCTTTTCATCATGCTTAGTAACTTGTTTTATGCATCATAAAAAAGCATAAAATGGCAAGGTCTTTACTATATTGTACAATAGATAAAATCTAACCTTAAACATGCAACAGATTTATTTCTGTTAATGTTTATGAAACAAAGATGTCTGCTAAGTAGAAAATCTGTAGGCGAATGACATAAATACAACAGCAGTTAAAAAGATTTCTGCATCTCCGTGAGCAGCAGCAATCGGAAATATTTATATTCTATCAGACTTTATCAGTTTCTAACATCAATAGAGGATTTAATTAATGGACAACCTTTTCTGCACTGCTCTCTTGAGATCCCATTACAATATTTCAATCATGATGATATCTGGACTTTGCTAAACAGATTTTCAGTCTTTCTGTTTTAGCCGTGCTGCAGTGTTTGGGATTATTTTATTTTATTTTTTTTACTTTAACAGCCTTTTCTTCAACCTTAGCTGTGGGACAGATGGCCTCAAACTTCAAGCAACAATGTCAGATCAAATACTACAAGGCTTAAAGGTGCCTTGGCTGTAAAATTGACTCAAATGATCAACTCCCCACAACTGTGCTAGATAGGGCCAGCCCAAGGCATAAGCAAACTAAGCTGCTGCTTGGGGCCCTCAGGCAAGTTGGGGACCCCCAAGAGCATATTTTTATTTTATTTTAATTATTTGCATGTCTACAGATTTTTAGATTATTTAGATCATATATGTCTCTGATCTTGTAAAAGTAACATGATGAGGTCAAACGTGTGAGTAAAGATTACATTTTTTAAGTAGATTTATTTCATATATTTTGACATAGATTTACCTCATTTTAAGGACAAATGACTCAACTTTCAACAATTTTTACCTACTATAAGGTGTTTTATTTACATAACTAAGTATGTGCTTGATATTTTTGGGTTTTTTATTTATCTGTGTTATTTTATTTGTTTATTTGCCATTGTTCTTGCAACACAGGTTACTTTTACACATTGTTGCTTCTTAGAAACAAAAATTAGAAGCTAAATGAAAATTTTACTGTGAATACGTACTACGTCATTTTATTACTGTTGGTAATGTATACATTTAGGAGTATAAATATATATAAAAAACAACGACGGAAAAACATATTGCATAGGGCTCCATGGATGCTTGGGCCAGCTGGCGAATTGAAAACGCTTTAAAACGCTTCCTGGATGGGAAGCGAAACGTCTTCAAACTCGGAAACCGACTCCAGTGGATTGTTTTTTGTTTTTTTTTGGAAGAGTTATAAGTGATCTTAGGAAATTATCTAGAGGCATTGTGTTGACACACACCTTTAAACTCAGACCAACAAAGGAGCAGAATTACAAAAAAAAAAACAATGAATCCTTGCTTAATGGATCTTTCTTTCTTAAAGCATGTAGAAGCAGCTATGTGTATATTTATGTCATACACTGGTTATCTCTCTGTTTATTAAAGAAAACACTTCAACCCAACTGACCCGCGCTGTCCTCGAAGATGATCAGAGCACATAAAGGCCTTGGCTTCAAAAGTGCGACATGGTCTATTTCCCCTCCTCCATTCCTGGATCTGAGAAAGTGAATGAGTAACTTGTCTTTTAGCCTCTCATCTTCAATGTCAGTGGGGAGCCCACTCACTTTCACAGTCCTGCCCGCCTCTGCCATCTGCTGGAAGAAACACAATCAGTGCTGAATGGGACAAAGTTTCCTAATCATGAGACAGACAAGAAAAGCAATAAAAAAAACGACATGTCCTTGTAAGGATTGATCATGATTATCAGGCTAATGATGAGAAACCAGGTAAGTTTTATGCCTCTGTTAATCATTGAGACATCTATGAATCCCACACTGACATACTGGAAGACATGTCAGATATTATATCGCCCTCTGCTGGGCTTATTAACGAATTACATCAATATGCAAAAAATATATCTCAAACAATTTCATTATATGTGTAAAAAATAAAAAAAACACAGCACGTTAATTTCACATTGGAGAGTATCTAATCGTTTGTATGTTTAAGAAGAGATGAATAAATTATACGGTTTTTATATGGTAGTTTATAGTCTACTGAGTTATATTAAGAAAAAAACTATATTTTGATTAAAATTCAGGATATTTGCTTTGAAAAAGAAACAAAGGTGTGATCCTTTTGCAACACTCCTCTTGTTTAACACCGGGTTAAGTTTTAAAAATAAGAAATTACAAAGTCACCCCCCTCCACCTATTCCCTAGCGATTGTCAACTAGTTTGCAGCTCTTTTATTAAATAGAACACCCCTTTGTTACATCTAATGGTGATTTCCGCACATGCAATCGCACTACTTCCACAACCTTATTTTGTTTCTGATATTTTTCTCTCGAATCGGTTTGCTGAAATCAGTAAGAGGCGCGTAATTACCCCACAGCACGAAGACAGGCCACAATTCAGAGGAGAGAATCAAGGAAGTAAATAAATCAGGCAGATCTGGGCTGATTCAGATCAACAGAAACGATCAGATTAATCGGTGATCCCCTGAAGATGTAAACATTCCTGACCTTTCATTTGTTTTACGCTGATTTCGCTTTCTTGACAACTTTCAAAGATCGCGAATCTTCACAGGCTGTGGAGGAAAAGTGAAACTAACATGTTTTTTTTTTATTTTGTTTCTTCCCGCTAGGGGGCGGGATAATTCGGCCGCACCGTGTGATCCATGCAGGGCCATCCATAGCATGTTCGGAAACATGAACAAACCGCAAGATATGTGCAAGTTCTACGACTGATTACAGTTTTCTTTTAAATAGAAACAAAGAAAATTATTAAAATAAGTCTAGAGCAACGATTTAACATATGATCTGAAGCAAAATATGTTCTAAACGTCTTACTACTCAACAACAAAATCCTGACCACAATTATAGTTAGTAAGTATTCATAGAACTAATTATATATATATATATATATATATATATATATATATATATATATATATATATATATATATATATATATATATATATATATATATATATATATATATATATATATATATATATATATATATATATATATATATATATATATATATATATATATATATATATATTCTATTCTATTCCAATTCAACTAAGAGTTAGGTATTCTTGTCTACATAAAGAAATCATTATTTTATATTTTACCCCAAATATTTATTTCTATAATTTTAGTGACTAAACCAATGAGGAAACAGGGATATACTGTTTACATTTTTTAGGAGCAGGTTGATAAAGCCATGATGATTAAGAAGTCCTATTTTTGGAACATTCAGCAAGTAAAATCAGTTTCCTGTCACATTCAATCAAAGCTCATCGCTAAAGCTCATTTAACGTAAAAAGGTTGATTTTTTGTTTTGTTTTGTTTTTTTGTATCAATTCAATTTCATTTTGAAAGAGCTTGAGCTTTTTATAAGATGAAAATGCTAATTAAAAGAAGATTTCTCATTTAATACTATTTTATTTTTCAGATTGGCCATAGGTGGCGGTGTTACGATATACTTTCCTGCGTTAACCTTTTTCCAACGAAGTAGAGAATCTGGGTCCTGTCCAATCAGATTAGGTTGTAGGCTGTGACGCGCTGTGCGCATCCGCAGAAAGTCACATATTTCATGTGTTGTACGTCGTGTCCGGTGGAGGTCACAGTAGTTGGTGCAAGCTGAGGTGAGTTATGACACTTATTGTGATAGAGACGTTGACAAGCCATTAGATGAAACATTCATAAAGTAGCAATCGTTACTCTAAAGGGTAAGGGTTATTTTTCTTCCACTACCTGCATTTTATAACGAACGCCTGGACCAGTCGGATGGTTGAGAAAGACGAGCACGAGTTTCCCCTGACTATTTTCATCAGTGGAAGCTAAACTGCTAACTGTTACCATTTAAGCCACTCACTGGTCGATTTGAAACGCATTATACGCACAATCCTACGCTTATTACTCATGCTGGGATGTTCTGAATTTCCACGTTATCTTTATATACCGACAACCGCTAAGCTTAAGATAAGCTAAAGCTAGATTAGCTTTACCTTTAGTGAAGCTAAGTTAGCTTTACCCCACATCCTCGGTTGTCACCGATCAAGGCCACTGTCTGTTTGTTCTGCTTAGAAGGGATTAAAGGTGGCTTTTAAGGATTTCAACAAATGCTTAATGGGTTTACAATGCCTGCCGTATTAGTGAAGTAGCTGTTGTTTCCACATGCAGGTTTCTGCTGTCATGGCCAAACTGTTTGAGTCCATTGGGAAGCTGGGGCTTGCCCTCGCCATCGGTGGAGGTGTTGTGAACTCCGCCCTCTTTAACGGTAAGTGTTGCTAATATCAAGGTAGATAGAATATGGCCTATTTAGCAACTCCTTTGCTAACTATGTACCCTTATTTAATTGGCCCTTTCCATTTTGCACCCATATTTATAATTCTTTAGTTAATATCTCTATGATATTTTTGAAGAACTGATGATTAATACATTTATTTATATTCCACCAGCTGAAAAGGTTGTTGTTCTCATAGACTTTATTATTTCGGCTTCTTCAGAAGAATAAACACCTAATTCTATATAGCAAGGGTAACCAATGAAAAATAAGCGAGGTCCAAAAAAAAAAAAATAAACAACCAGTAAAGGTCCGGTCTTGTGCGAAATTCTGTTTCCCCATGAAAATCTGTTCCCCCTGTGTGGGGAGCGCGCATTGCAGCCATAGAGGCGGATCTGACCATCCTTAAGGCGCTCCTGATAATTTTTCGGTAAAAACAGCTCATATAATCATCTCAACTTTGTAACATCCATTTTAATCGGTTGCTCTTTTTAAAAAATTGTAAAATAAATACATTAACGAGGTCCTCTTACGCTGTTTTGTGTTGTTTTTTTAAACGCCAAGAGAATCTGTACTTCTCCAACTTTTGTCCCTTCAGCCTGACAGAAATAAACGTCAGTCACCGAACACAACAACACGTAGTGTATTTTTAATTTTTCATTGCTGATATAAGAGGATGGAAACTGGCTGATAGCAGGGCACACAAATTAAGACGTCCTGCGAAGATGAGAGAAGAATTTCTGGTTAATCACCTTCTAATGTAAAATATGACAGATTACTGGATTAAGGACATTTATAGTAGGCTATATCACATCACACTTATCAATTTTAGAGAAATTGGAAACAGTTGCTCTTTATTTCCCAAAGATATGGGAGGAGGAGAGGAGAGAATGGATGTTTCAGCTGCCTGAAATAATCTGTTCCCCCTCCATAACCCTTTAATTTTTGCAAATAAAGAGTAAATATGACCAAATTCGCAAGATTTGTTCTTGGTGGTGAGGGGAATAAGCACAGTTAAAGACTTGCAGGTAAATCAATTTCTTCCCCTGTTATGGAGGGGGAGCAGATTATTTCAGGCAGCTGAAATAATCTGTTCCCCCCCTTTAATTTTTGCAAATAACCAGTAAATATGACCAAATTACACAGGATTTGTTCTTGGTGGTGAGAGGAATAAGCACAGTTAAAGACTTGCAGGTAAATCAATTTCTTCCCCTGTTATGGAGGGGGAACAGATTATTTCAGGCAGCTGAAACATCCATTCTCTCCTCTCCTCCTCCCATATCTTTGGGAAATAAAGAGCAACTGTTTCCAATTTCTCTAAAATTGATATGTGTGATGTGATATAGCCTACTATAAATGTCCTTAATCCAGTAATCTGTCATATTTTACATTAGAAGGTGATTAACCAGAAATTCTTCTCTCATCTTCGCAGGACGTCTTAATTTGTGTGCCCTGCTATCAGCCAGTTTCCATCCTCTTATATCAGCAACGAAAAATTAAAAATACACTACGTGTTGTTGTGTTCGGTGACTGACGTTTATTTCTGTCAGGCTGAAGGGACAAAAGTTGGAGAAATACAGATTCTCTTGGCGTTTAAAAAAACAACACAAAACAGTGTAAGAGGACCTCGTTAATGTATTTATTTTACAATTTTTTAAAAGGAGCAACCGATTAAAATGGATGTTACAAAGTTGAGATGATTATATGAGCTGTTTTTACCGAAAAATGATCAGGAGCGCCTTGAGGATGGTCAGATCCGCCTCTCTGGCTGCAATGCGCGCTCCCGACACAGGGGGAACAGATTTTCATGGGGAAACAGAATTTCGCACAAGACCGGCGACATTTTTAATTATAATCCATTACTTTAAACAGCATTTCATACTGAAATAAAATTAGGTTTTTGTGCATCCTTGTTATACATGGAATTTTTAAAATAAAAAAACAAAATGTTAACATTTGTTTCTACGTTAGAAAATAAGATTTGTTCAGTTTGCTATATAGACAATTTCCTGATTCACATATTTTATAAAACACCTGAAGTGACCTTTATTTATTATTTTCTTTTTTATGGCTTAATGAGAGCAGTGGGCTTTAAGCTGCCCTGCAAGGCTTTAAACCTGGTTTTGAATGGTGACAAAGCCATTCTCAAGCACATATCAAGGTACTCATTCGTGAGCCTGGATCGATATTCATTTTTGTTTATGTTCATGGTGAAGAAAGCTGCTTTACAGCAGTGGGTTGAGCCTAGCATACCCAAAATACCCAGGGTCATCTTTGGGAACGCCATTTTGCTTTTCACTAGTTCACTGCGCTTCTTCCAGCAGTTTTCTTTTTCTCATTGCCCGGCTTGCCACAGTTTTGCCTGCTGTGTCTAAAAGTGGCTCGCCTCAGTGATCCAGGCTGACACATCTCTTCGGCTAATTTTTATCACGTGCAGCCTGGTCCCAAAAGCTCTGGAGGGTCTTATCATATTAAAAGAAGCGCCACAGGTGAAGCCAAGACACTGTCGTCAGACAACATACGGTAGTTTATAAATGTTTTAAATAAAGTTGTGTCCCGATTAGCCAGCAGGTGGATCCGGACCGCAGTCCGATAATCTGTGACCTCTGCTTTACAGCAAAGTGCCTATCGGATAATAACTGAACCTTTTGCTGATGAGCTCTTCGGTTGTAACACTAGAATATATTGTATTATCAGGTTGAATACTTGTCCTGTCTGCTCCTGTAGCTACTTTGCAGTTAGCGTCACTAAAGTTGTGACACATATCCCTCCTGATGTTTTATTAAACAGTGGTGCAGTAGAAAGTGTTAGTGGATGAGTGACTGATACCTCAATGAGACTGTATTTAGCAACAGGTCGGGTAGGGGCAGGTCAGGCATGCATTGCTCTATAACACATCAAGGGAACGTTCAGGTAGCTTTAGCTTTTTGTCTGACATCCAGTCTTTAAATCACAGGATCAATATCATGGAACATGAACAGTTTTTAGCTTTAACTGGTTAAATCCTCTTTATTGATGCTGGTTAAAAGTTCATTATTAATGGACTTTTTGTTTGTTTTTTTAATTACTTAACCAAATCCAAATTGCCAAATTTGTAGTTGCTAAACCACACGAGACGATAAAAAAAAGTAAAAAAAATCTCCTTTCAAAGCTGTTAGGAAACACCCCCTTATAAGAAATAAGTTAAGTGTTGACTAGTTATTGGAGTTGCTGCCATTTTAATTTTACATGAGATCAGTGCTTTAATAGTTATGTGCTGAAGAAACAAACTGCATAAGGAGCATTTAAAGACAAACTGGCAGCAACTATATATTGATTTATTGGATTTATAATTAAATC